TACGTCTGGCAATTTCTTGATATGCCATCACACAGCATAAGCTTTATTGTCAGCCGCCAAATCGGCAAAATCTAGTGTAACAAATGTATAAACTTGTCCAGTTTTTTCTGTTGCCTTTTGCGATTGTGTCAGGATTTCTTGAATAGTGGAATATTCTGTAATTATTGGCGAAGTAATTGGTGTCATTTAGCCTAGAGTTGACGATTTCTGTTCACCTTTAGTATTTGATATTTCTGAGACCCATCCTGGTAAGTGGTATATTTTCTTAAATCTTGCTCTGCACCATAACCAGAAGAAATCAGATAGTGTAGCATTATTATTGGAAGCTTTGCTTACACAAGTTGTTATCGTAACGTCGGTATCGGGGTCAGGGTGCTTTTGAATAAAACGAGGTTGCAGATCTCTCTCCACAAATTTGACAGTACGTTGTTTCGTTCTTGGTACATCACTGCTACTACTCAATAATTGCATATCAGTACTTTTTTCTTGAATCATAATCCCATGTGTTGACTGAGTTGTGCCAGTACCCGATGGAGTTTCTTCATTTAGATCGAAGTTGTCCCAACACAAGTGCGACACAATGTTACCAGTTGTAGATATATTTGAAGGGAGAAGTTCATCATTGCTCTTTATTTTATTGCACATATCAGTCTCTAACTCAAGCAAGTATGAGTAGGACACACAATGGCCATATCTGTTTACTAAAGTTATCAGTTCTGCACTTCCTGTAAGGTGCCATGGTTATTCTTAAGCTCAAATGCTTCGCTATTTTTCATTTACCATTTGTAGTACTATAGCACAAATCCTGTGCAAAGAAATTCACTGTGCGTTCAACTTTGTCGTTGCCAGCGTGCAATGGTTTTTCGCTTGTTAAGTACGACAAAAATTCACATAGTAAATTAGGAGCCTTCGCTTCATCTGATGCCAGAGATTCGGCTGAAGGAGGCCAAGGCATTTCCGGTGAATTGTTATATGCCTGCTGGATATGTGTCTCAATATCATTGCAGCCTCTTGTACTCTTCGTATCTCCGATAACATAGCTTCAAATGCAGTTTCTATGGCTTCTCCTGGTTTTATCCATGACGAGTACACAAGTTCACCTCTGCAGTTATGCTGCCAGAATGATATACAATTGCCAAATTGGTGTATTAGTTTTTCCTTTAATTTGTCAGTTTTATAGTTTATATTATAAAATTCTGGTGACTGAACAACATATACCTCTCACGCAGCATAGATATTCAACATTACCATTAACAATGATGCTTTCCTCAACGTAGTTCTGTAAATGTTCAAATGCTCCTCTATGAACCTTTTGCTGCGCAAGTAACTTGCTTTCTGGAGCGGCATGGAGTCGCCTATCCGCAAGTCCTGCGTATTCCTTACGACATTTATTATGATAGTGGACTTGACGAGCTATGAAATCTACATCTTTCATTTCAATTTAAAAATATGTCATCTGATATTGCTTTTGCAGCTTCGTAAATGGACAACACCGCTATTTTTGTAACACATTTGGTAGGAAACTCGTACGTTTTCTTCGAAGAAATCCAGTTACGATTCTTGTGACAAAAAATACAGCTATCACTCGAAAATAACTTGCTTGTAGGAACCGTAGATCTGCGGCTTCGCTTGGATGTCGATGGTTCATATTCAATGACTGATAGCGGTACACGTTTTCTTATTTTTGATATATTCGCAAATCATGGTCTTCATCGAGGTCCACTGGCACTTGTCTACACACAGTTTCCAATCTATTACTTTCAGTCAATTCTCTAGGTCGCACTTCAACACACTCACGAACTTTTTGAAATGATTGTGCGAAAAATGATCGAAGAATATTGCCTGATTTGTTTTCATCAAAATGAATAATACACTCTTCTATATACGAGCCTTCGCTCTAATACCTATGTCATTACCCTGGAATTGAAAATAGTTGCTAGGGGCCAAATAATTCTAGATATAGGAAAAGAGAATATGTTTTAGTCGCATTTTTTTTCCATCGCTTTTGCTTATTTGTAGAAACGAACAAACATTTTTATCAGAAATGAAAAACAAAACCTACATTTTTGCAACTTTACTGTCAACTGTCTATAAATAAAATCAGTACAAAGATTAACTAAAAATAAAGAGTGGACCAAACAAATATAAGTCAAGCACCAAGCAGCAGTCAAGAACAAAAAATCTTACTTACTTGAATATTAAATATTTTAACTTATTTAAATAAAACATTACAAAATACCTTGATATTGTCATGGATTCCGCCAGGTTCACTAAAACTCACTTCACAAACAGTAACAACTTTTATTAAACTTATTGACTCGAAATCTCGAAAAATGATTCCAGGTCGAGGTCACTCTCTTTTAGTTGTTCACTTCCCAGCTGTTTGGGACTCTGTTCTTGATCCGTATCCAATCGAAAGCTTCTAACAGGTACTCTTTCTAGCTGATCAATTCTGGGGCAGTTCTTGTCTTGACCTGGGCCACCTGGGCTTCGCAAGTTCTCAATCGAAGGTGGCGATCAAATCGAAGAATCGCAGTCATCAGAAAGAGAGCAAGATTTCAGTTAAACTACAGTCACGTTTGAAATTGAAATGGCCTTTTCTTCCGCATTCGGAGCTCTTGTTCAAGTTACCCATTGAACACTGACAGTCATTATTAAAAGGAAAGCGAGATCTCAAACGTACTATACAATCACTCTTAAAATGTCAGTGGTAGCATTCCCTAATTCTTCCAGAAATTCCCTAATTATGATGCCGTTAATTTCTCCCATTGCATTTTCTCTTTTTCTTCACAAATCGACAAAGCTCTAATCTTTGCTATCTACATCCATTTCTCTAATTCCGTAAATAAAATTTTCGGTCACTTGTTGTTCTCGCATTTCTATTGCTGCTTTCGGATAGGCCAAATTGACCAGATGGCGGATGTCGATTTCAAATTATTGTAGGCTTTCTGCAGCTTTTTGTTGCCTAGTTCTGAGTTGTACCTGGTAAAACTGCTTTCGGTATTGATCTCCATAACGACGCTCCAACGCATCAACAATAAGCGCTCCGTAGATCTGTTGGGAAGTTGGCAGAAGAGTATCTAAAAGGTCTTAAGGAAGGACCACGCAATTCCACAATCAAGCTTGTGGCCATGTCATCGAAGCGCCAGCCATTAGCCATTGCAACAATGTCGAATTGACGTCTGTACATGGCCCACGATGTCTGTCTTTCATATGGTGGTGGCCTTACTTTTAATATCAGGTGCAGGCGAGGCTGTGACATTTCCTGATCTCAAGTCACATTCCATTTTTTTAATCTTCTTTTAAATACTATCCATTTCTTGGCGAACAGTTCCAACTTCCTGATGAACAGTTTCAACTTTCTGATGAACTTCGTGATGAACACTCCCAACTGTTTCGCGTACTTACTTCTTCCATCGCATTCCTGAATTTATTATCTTGAATTTTCACGAGTTTAGGTTGTTCCTAAGAGATTACGGTTTGCATCCATTCACGCTGATGTCTAAAATTTTGCTGAAGCCGGTCCTGTTCTTCTTCTCTTCGCTCTTCTTATTGTTGTAAAAGTACTGGAAACCGGTTCTTTTTGTCTTCGGTCTTCTTGTTGTTGGTGAGAGTGCTGCAAGCCGGTCCTGTTCTTCTATTTTCTCTTTCCGTCTTCGGTCTTATTCTTCTTCTTGTTTTCCTTTCTATCACCTTCTTAATATTGTTTTTCTGTCTGTCTTATTCAGGCTTCTTCTTCTAGTCATTTGTCGTCCAAATTCTTCATGAGGTCCGCCAACATTTGATTACCTTTCTCCATTTCGGCTGTTTGCTGTCGTGTATGTACCATTGAGTAGGTATTCTGTTTTTTTTTTTTTTTGTGAAGTCAAATTTTCAAATAGAACAAAATGGAATATTTTAGGAAAATCACTCTGTGGAGTAATAAAGTCACTATGGTATCACTCACGGTTTCCAAATAGAATTCTATAGAAGTTTGTAGAATACTTATTCCAGAAAATCCACTTGTTAGCTTGTTTTTTGGTATCAAATCAGGTAATAAAGTCACCATTCTTGAATCACTTATGGTTTCCAAGTAGAATTCTATAGGAGTTTGTAGAATATCCAGAAAATCCGCTTGCAAGCTTGTAAGAATAAAGTAACTATTACAATTCAATAAAAGTTCACTATTGTTCCTACTAATTATCTCAAATTAATACACCATTTATCTTGCTATTAATCGCACTGATTAGCTCAAAATAGTCCAGTAGTTATCTTAGAGAATTGCATTTCTTGGCATCTGGCCAGGCTGCGGAGGCAATTTCGTAACAATATTAACATTAACAAAGCTTCATAAACATTTAAGTGTATATTAAGATGTAATTACGATTATGTAATCCCTTCAAAGAAGGAGGCACAATTAACATTGAAAATAGAACCACGAGGATCGTATGTCTGTGAAAGCAGATATAGCTCATCAAAGTACGTAGGTTCTGCTATGCTATGCATAGGAAATATCCCTACGTAGATTTTCTTGAAAATCTCGAGAAAAATGCTAATCCGATTTTGACGTTTTTTGTAGGTTTCAAACTCCAAGAAGGTCAAAATCAGATTAGTATTTTTCGAGATATTCAAGAAAATCTACGTAGGGATATTTCCTATGCATAGCATAGCAGAACCTACGTACTTTGATGAGCTATATCTGCTATCACAGACATACGATCCTCTTTACATTTCAATTTTTTTTTTTGCAATTATGATACCTTTAAAATATTGAAATGTGATTGAAATTCACGGGGACCTATTTTCAATGTTAATTGTGCCTCATCATTCTTTAACAAAAAAATATAACTTGGAAATTAGGAATAAAACAAAACCAGTATAATGGTATATGCACTTCACAATAAAATAGCGAGATAGTTACTTATACCTATTTAAAAATTTTGAATTCAATTCAAATCATCTGAAAAGACATAAATAAGTATAGGTACCTACCTACTCATCAAGCTTTTGATAATACATCCATTTTTTTATATGTATGTAGGTATATGTTTGTTTACCAAAACAGAATTCGCTACAGTAAGATTATTGAGATTATAGTCAAATTTGTTGCGTAGAAAGTGAAGTGGAATTATTTTGAGTGAGCGAGTTTGCGTTTGCGTTTGGGACTCTTTTGCCTCCGTGTAAGTGTTGCTTTTTGGGCGGGTGAATTTGTTTTATCAGACTTTGTATATGATTTAGTAGTTCATAACGCAGACATTTGATTTATTGCTTGCTTCCAGCAGGCTTTTTCTTATAATAATAATTCTCTTTGGTAGGTATTTACTTTATATGGATTGTCGCCTTCGCCACAGTGTCCATGATAAGGGCGCCTCGGGGGTATTAGCGAACAGCGGATAAATATCCCGCGTGGACAGACAAAATACATCAAAGAAAAAGCGATAGATAGAGCAAAAAGAATATGGAGAAGTGGACTGGACGAGGAAATGAGAGACAGAGTCTTGGATGAGGGTACCTGAATTGACAGATACGGTTGAACATCGAGAATCGGAAGACTTATTAGAAAGTTACAAACCGATAATTTCATATAACTACAGGGTGATTTACGTAGCCCGTGCATTAGCGTATAGATAGAATATCATCCACCTGCAAACTCAAAAACTCCCAATGCTCCTGGCTACGTCAATCAGCGGGTACCTACTTATATACCTAGATGATAAAATGACTTGTAGAGTAAGTGAAGATGCACACTAAAAATGATGAAGTAAAATGCAGTTTATGTGATTTAGATTGTGATAAAAATCAATTTTGATTGATGATGTAACGTATGATGTCCATGTGGTGAATGAAGCATGATGATGCACTTTTTCGCTATTTGGCCCAAATGCCACATATTGTCCCTTTTCAAAATGTTCAAATCCCCTTAGATCCAGAGATGGGTCCCAGCTACTCAAATTGCCCGCTTCTATTAACTCCCGATTAAAGGAGCATTTTCAGAAACTCTCAAACACAGATTCTAGCATAGATGATGAAGTCTCCGATAAAGTCCCTCAAAAATTAATTCAAAATCAACTCAGTGAAGTCCCTTCCTATCAAAAGTTTGAAAAAGCTATCAACCAATTAAATAATAATGAAGCTGCTGGGTTGGACGAAGTTCCTGCTGAGCTTTTAAAGATGGGGGCCGTGCGACAGTTCAACTCAACGCTTACGTTCATTTTGCCAAAATATGGAACGCCGAGACAATTCCCGCAGATTTGCGACTTTGCGAGTTACCTCTATCTTCACTATATTCACGAGAAGGCGATAAGATAAAGTATGGAAATTGCCGAGGAATATCAATGCTCTGTACACCCAAAACACAATGTGGCTTTAGATCTATCCGAGGGACAGTAGACATGATGGCATTTATAAGCCTTGTCAAAGCGTTTGACTGTTAATCGAGCCGTTCTTCGGAAAATACTGGCATTGCACGACTGTCCACCTAAATTTATCAATATACTTCTTTTCCTGCTTGACAATAAGAACGCCGCAATGTCCTCACCAACAATCGACCCGGAGAAGCATTCAAAATCGCAACCAGGGTGAAGCAAGCATGTGTCGTTGCGCGAAGCATATTCTTTATTTTCATAGGAGCCGTACTTCACTTTGTCCAAGAAATCCTGACGTTGGCCCTGATGGTAAACTATGCAAACAAGCAGACTGCGAGCCAAAAGCAAGGTATCCACAGCAACTATCTGGAAGCTCAATGTGCTTATGATAACGCTGTTCTGGCAAATAAAGAGGAAGACCAACAAACTACTTAACACAAAAATGCGCCAAATACGAAAGTTCGAGATCTAGCTGTAATTATCAATGAAGCACCTCCTGAAAAGAGATAATAGTTTCTATACCTCGGTAGTAATCTTTCTATAAATGCAAATATGGACGCGGAAATTGTAAGCTCGCGGTTTACAATGTCATAGTCATATCAACAGTTCTCTGCGAATGTGAAAATGCTTAGAAAAGTTTCACTAGCGTTGCTCAAAAAGAATACTTATAATAAACGGGCAAGATTGTCGAATGAAGAACAGTATCCTTGAGGAAACCAATTCCACTATAGCTCTGAAGCAATGGCTCATCTAACATCAGCTCTGCTCTGGGTCCTTATTCTTAAAACAGGGGAGCAACTCTCCCAGGAGAACGAGTGTTCCGTCTTTCTAAATGATGTGCAAATGATAATTTAAGCAGCAAAGACGGAACATTGGTTCTCCTGGGAACCCTGCTCCCCTGTTTCAAGAAAACGACACTGGGCAGGTCACGTCCTCCTAAGCAAATTTTAAATGCCCATTTATAAAATGGCTAACGCAGCAAAGGACAGCGATTCAAACGAATCGAAGATGTCTTCAAGGTAAAGATGAAAGCGGGTCAGATCGATGTGGGCGAATGGGAGTACCTATCCATCAAGGCTAGGAGCAAACTAGGAGTATTTCAAACGACATAGACGAAGTATAAAAGAACAAGACCCTCTGGTAAGAGCTGCTTAACAACAGCGCACGGCTACCGCCGATTTGGTGTGAAATCAATGTGGTTGATTTTTTGGGCAGAGAAGAGGCTTACTTAATTAAAGAACCCACAAATAATGATGCTACCCTACGAAGATTATTAAAATAGGTAGGTACTTGTTAGCAAGTGACTGCCTATGATGACCTTGAACAATAGGAATTACCAATGTTAGAAACTTAGAGTACTTGATATGACTCGTTGAAAAGTGATACTACCTATGGTACTATGTAATTCCCAAAAAGTAAAAAAAAACATCCTGATAGCGAAGAATTTGAGTAGCTGCTACTCCATACCGCGAATTCGGGATGCGGCAAAAATAGCAGAAAAAGACCTACTGCCACCCAGTAGGCCGCTAGACGGCCGAAATGAAATACATAAAATTGAAATATACGTGCTATATTTACTTTTCACCCAATTCCTGATTTTTGTTGTTACGTTTTATTTTTTTCCTCAAGAAAGTTCTTGAGGAGGTCATTTAGATATCGAAAACGTAAGGGATTCTTTGTGAAGGGGCCCCACGTTGGGCGCCGTGTAGGTACCTACATGCAGTTTTTTTTGTGCAATAATTTATTTTTATTTGAAATGCGTTCTAAATATAACACCACTTACATTAAGAGTAGGTTCCGTCACCGGTTACTTTGGTGACATGTTTGACATAACCAACCGCGTTCCGTATGGACCGGTTTTTCAGAAACCAGACATTACGGAACGTGTAACCGTAACCAAGGTTGGCAACGGAACCCACCCCAAAAATAAATAAATTGACCGAAAACTAATGGCGTTTCCGATTGGTAGTTTTAGTGTGCACTGAGTGTATTTACATCCTTTTAATCGACCTGTAGAAGAAAAAGACAGAAATAAAAAAAATTGCACTAGTTCTGCAGTAGATCTACCAATCGGAAACGCCATAATTTTGTATTCGTTTTTCAATGACACAACTTTCCATTTCTCTCAAAATGTTCATAAACGACAAATTTTACCCTAATTTAATTTTATGTTCCTTCGATGATTTATGTGAAAACATTTTATCAAAAATCACTTTTCCGACATATAAAATAATCATTATAAGAACTAGTATCACACCAACTACATCCAGCATTAAGTACTCATATAAAGGCAATTTCCTTCCGGCGACTTTCAAATGTTCAGCCCCGTCATGCTTTAAAACATACTCCAACCAGTAAACAGCGTTCGCCATGGGTTTTAATGGCCTGTCATTGAAAATTCTCGATCGCCTTTTAGCATTTTCTTGGTAAATGGGATTGGTCAAAAGTTCCCGAACAAGTCTAGTCAAAGTGTCTGCATTGAAATTTTGATCGTCATGATATGGCAGCACTAAGCCGTAGCCGTATCGAACGGCTTTGTTGGCATTTATAAATTGATCACCGAACACTGGAATTGCTAATACTGGTACTCCGTGGAAAATTGTTTCGGTGGTACTAAGGAATCCTCCGTGAGTGATGAAAAGTTTCACATTTGGATGAGCTAAAATTTTGTTTTCAAAGCCTTAGTCAATTGTAAGAAATATGATAGTTTTACCTAAAATATCTTGTTGAGGCATCCAACTTTTGATCAAAACATTATCGGGCATTCCAGCAGCATTTTCATCTTCAAATTTCCACAATACTTTTTGCTTCAACTTCGAAAAAACATCAAATAACATTCGCCTTTTTTCCATGGGCATGTCTTTAGACCTAACATTGCTACCCATACTAAAATATATAACACCTTCTGGAGCGTTATCTAAAAATTGTTTTAAATCTTTCGGTAACGCTTTAGGTGGATCTATAAAATAACCACCAATTTCGACCATGATTGGTACTAAAGGTACTGCCTCCAATAAGCTCGTATGCGACGATAGTAATATCAGTGCAGTACGTTCGTCTATTTCTTCAATTGAAGGAGCCCCAGGAAAAGCTTTTTGCAGCAAATCATTTTGTAGCGGCCTCACATGAAAATATTCAACCAAATACCCAGTAATGTAGTCAAAAAGATTACGGAATCTGTGCCAGAATTTATTTGCAGAAAATTCACCGTTGTTTGAAAAACTTGCCACATATGATGGAGGAGCTGGATTTGCAGCTAAGTTGTTAACCCTTGCAACTGGACCTTAATAAACAATTTTACTTTTCAAAAAACATTACATTAAGTATTAATCTTACCCATGCTTGACATTAAAATTAAATGACACTGGAAGTAATGGGCAAAATATTTATGAGCGTCATTCAAAAATTGTTCCATGATAACAGCATCGAATTTATTTTCTGGTGTCAATAGAGCTCTAACTTTAGGATGATAGAGCGTTGCATTAACCCAATGCAACATAAGTTCTTGATAGGAAACTATTTTATTCCAGTTACTTCGTGTGCTGTCTTCGTATAAGTTGATTTTTTTGAGTTTTTCTATTAGGTACATTGAACAAAACAATAACATTATTTTCCTGAATAGTATATCAGCATAATTACCTCTGTAAACCTCATCTAATCCTTCCAAAACAACATCTTCCCATGAAGCATTCATCGGAACTCCTTTTGTTGGATAAGGAGATATCATTGTAACATGATGTCCAGCTGCAGCGAACCCTTTCATTAATTTCTCGGCTAAAATATAGTGACTATTTCCCGGCATTGTGAATATTCCTAGTAATCTAGCTCCATTGGATAATTTGAAATAATACATAAGATACAATAATATTGATAAATTAATATTCATTTTGGATTCTGGTCCTGAATCTTGAGCACAATGAATGATAATGATGATTGCTAATAAACTATTTATTATAAAATATTGATATAATCAGGAGATGAAATGCAAGTTTTTTATCTTTAAAGTGCATGTACAATAATAATTGATAGAGCGGATTTGGTGCATTCGATGCAAAATAATTAATAGCAAATTTTTTATCTTATATACTAATTATTTCTCACAAAACAGAAATTGATAAATTAAACTTAACCACAGTATTTATTTACAGATGAATTTATGGACTATTCTCAAGAAAACAATCAGAATCATACAAATCTTCCTGCATCGATAACTGTCAACGTTGAAGTCATTCCTCATAAACAAGAAACTGTTATTATTTCCACGGAAGAAGCTCGAAATATGTTGAATTTGGAACAAATAAAAGGCAAGGATAAATACCGTGGAATACCTAGATCATTTATTTTTGTATTTTATAGTGGAACCTGCAGAAATAATCGTTGACCCTCTAGAATGCGATGGTAGATCAGATGCAACTCTACTATCTCTCCCTATAGAGCCAGAAGTTAGTACTGGTGTACATTTCCTTACCGATGAAGATTCATCGAAAAGTGAAGAAAACTATGAAAGAAAAAAGTACGAGTTTTTGGAATACATGCCCCAAGGAGATGGTAAGACTCTAAAATGATTAATCTGAAATGATATGATTTTTGTTTAGGAAGTGTTGTTTGCAAACGTTGCGGAGAAGTTCTTGCGTCGAGAACTCACTGGTACAGGCATAAATATAAATTCCACGTGACCAGTTTCGGAAATCCTTCGCCTCTTTTTAAGTGTGACCTTTGCAATGTCTTCTTCAAAAGCAGAAAAGGCTACATGGGTCACTATGCTACAAGACACACGGAATCGAAGATTAATGAAATAACAGAATCAATTCAGGTATTCTCAACTACTAAAGAAGAACTTCCAGAAGAAGTAATCATGGAAACACCACCAGCAGTTATATCTAATACAGGGGTCGTCAAAAAACGATTTACAGATAAGACTGGGAATTGGGAAGAGCAACGGATGAAAGAAGAAAAACTTGTAGCAGATATTATTAATAGGGTCAAAAGGGAATGTGAAGCTCAAGGAGCAGTGGTAACAAGAAAAGGCTATAGCCGAAGAACTACTTCGGTGATGAACTCACAGGCTTTTTAAAAAATCAACTATATCTAAAAAAGACTGATGTCAATATTTAGCTCTGTGGGAAAAATGCAACGTAGGTGCCAAATGATATTTTTTGCCAAAAAATTGTATTACGTTGGAAATAATATAATAATTATTCTTCTTCCTATTTATACAAGAACAATATCTTATATACTTCCATTAGATTTTTATTGAATTTATTGTACAATTTATGTTTTTTAATTATAATTTTAGATACCTGTAATGGAATATGAAAGTCCATTCAAATCGGATCTTATTTACCTTATAGTCTGTCGATTTTAATCTGATACTCCAAAGGAATTAATATGAGCTGGTGGCTCTCTACATTAGAACTCCAGTGGTTACCTGACTCACACCTGTTTTTGCCATATGAAACACCCCCTCGTTCTTCATACGGAAAGTGTCAGATTAAAAACGACGGACTTTTTATTATTAATTATACAGTTTTATATACGTAACTCTTAGTCTATAATATAGTAGCTCAATAAGTTTTACTCAATTAAATTCTTGTCTTCGAAAATATTATCTAGGGTAAAATCAAAAACGTTGTGCCAAAATTCTTGCCAAATTGTAAAAAAATGTACATTAGTAAATCTCATATAAGATACATATATTTTTACTGTATAAATAAATAGCGTTATTCCACTTGGAATTAGAAGCTCATTAATATGTTATTAATCATTTGCTCAATATTTTCCTTTTAGGTCGTTTTTGTTACTAAGCTTATTCGCCGGTATTTTAATCCTTTATATTTTGACTGTGATGTAAAAATAGTGATGTTCAAGATGTTAGAATTATATTCTAAAACCATTTATGATATTTTCCTATTTATTGCAATTTTTTTGATGGGCAATAATTTCAACCAGAAATTTCATCTTAAGATTTTTACATTTCAATTATTGTTATTTTGTGTTTTATAATAATGTAGATACTTTTGTCGTTTTTTATATTATAAATACACTTTATCAATGTGAAACCAGTGAGTGATATTAGATTAAAGTTATTATGTTTTTTATTTCTCATTTAATTTTGTTATTCTAGGTATTAGACTCAGATGTCGAATTCGGCCATAGGCCTTAATAAAGACACAGTAGTTCGCAATCTGAGTTCAACCAAATACCCAATAACCGGTTGCGGAAAAAAGTTGCAAGTACCTATTCCAGCATTTGTGCACGCTGAAGTAGATAGGGATTCTAAGAATGAAGCAATACGATTTTGCACAAAATATCTTTCCCAGAGATGATTTGCACCCTGATAGCTGGCCATGCTTTTGTCACGAATTCTAGGCCCACTAAAACGCGCTTCAACTTTTTGTTGAACAAACTGTAAGGACTCATCCCAGTGGCGGCTCGTGGCCCAAAAATTTGGAGGTTCTGCCCTAGTGGCATATTTGTTTGGGATAGGGTGACAACCACCGCAGGTGGACATTTTTTTCGGTAACCACGGCCACGCCCAAAAATGTTCATTTAAAATCTTCAAAAAAATTATTGTTTCTATAACCATCAAAAAATATACAACTTTCGTCATATTTTACCAGCCGAAAACGTCATTTTCGTTACTAGTGACAGAATATCCCATAACGTTAACTTTCGTCACTAGTGACCAAAGTGAATGATTAGGATTTTACATATTAAATACATTCTTTCAATACAATTATAATTTAATTTTGTGAAACACAATGAAAAAACACATATGTAGTTCGTCACAAAATTATCTAAATTTTGCTTTATATAATGTAATAGAACTATAATAGAAGCAAAATATATTTATGAAATTATTGCAAAACCGAGAACTTTTGATAGATGGTGCCTTGATTCATTCACGTTTTTAAGCGCCATCTATCAAACCAAGTAGGAACCCTTGTGAGAAAAACATAAGTTGAACAGCAAAAACCAAAACATGGTCATTGATAAAGTATAGTGTTTTACTCGTCGAAATAGTACCTATATTTCATTACCAGTCCAGAAAAAAAGATTTTTCCGTGCGCGCGTGACAAATTCTTGTGTGAGGCGCAGCCGAGCACGGGAAGTCATGTAAGAACGGAAAAATCCATTTCTGGACGTGTAATGAACGATATTTTTTATTATACTTATCTGAAAACGATAAAAACAGAAAATTCCCATTTTTTAAAATGACATGAATTTTACAGAAATTAAAATGTCAAAAAAAACGTACATAGTGAGCATTGAAGGTAGGACACCCAACTCACAGGTCTTGTCATTTTTCGCTATTTTGGGTGAATCAGTATTTTTTTTATAATGGATTTTTTTGGTCAAATATGATACTTAATCTCTGTTATTGCCGTAAGTATAGCTGTGAGTTCCTTTTACAATAGGAAAAATCGGATGTCTCACTTTCAATGCTCACGACTGTACATAGGTAAAATGACGGTTGTCACAGAAACTTAAATCGTTTTTTATTTTTCGGGGTGCATTTATAATAAGATATCTTTGTTTAATTTCTAATGAATGACAAGGATGCAATATTGACTGACGTCTAATCTGCTCAACGCACGGAAACAGAGATCGGGAAAAAATTTCCGTGCGCTGTTCTGGAAATGTCACCTTTACTTTATTGTTGAGACAGGTGGAAAAGAGTTTTTTTTAGGTAAGTATAATAAAAATATTTTTTTTCAACTTGAAAAAATTATCAAACTCGGCTTCGCCTCGTTTGGTAAACTATTTTCTATTTCAAAAAATGCTGTTTTCGTCACTCGTTAAACAATATACTATATTGTAAGTGTTGAATAAAAAAACTCTTGATTTGTCCAATCGCTTAATAATTGACAAGTCCTCTTTATCTGGGCTATACAAAAATGTCAAGGATTTTTTTTTAACATTAACAAACAACAATAAAACCTTTACTAAACCATTAAGTTTATTTTGTCTGTTAATTTTAATAAAATCTCTAGATAAACTAAGTAAAGATACCCGTAGAATTAACTAAAAGAAAAAAAAAGATCCGATCGTATTTTTTTCAAAAAAAGATAATTAGAAAAACAACGCACAAAACAAATATGACCGACAGTTTCAACAGCACCCTTTCCTGCTTGTCCGTCTTCTCGCAAAAACAATAAAATTGCATGAAATACGCGGTCATGCGACCCAAGTTGGATAAGGAGCTGGAAATCTTGCAGCACAACTTCCGCCTAAACACTATCTAAACCCAGGACCAAGTGCGGCGCGGGGCGATGGGAAGGGATTACAGCCGAGCACAGAACTCGAAAGTAGCCCAGCTATGTTATGTTGTACGCGAAACCCGTATTATTAACTTATCATGGTTGGCCGACTGTAGCGTTCGGAGGCGCCCGTCACGCTCAAAGATGAAAAATATTCCAGGCAGCGTGGATCGAAGGCTTACTATACTAACATGCTCGGCCGAAAATATACTGTTTCAATAATTTTAGTCGGTTTTACTTTTAATTGAAAAAATATTAAATAATTAAAAAATTAGTCAAGTAATTATGAAAATTTTGGGGGTTCTGCAGCTCTGCAGCCCTTATGCACCAGCCGCCCCTGACTCATCCAAATAAAACAAGATAACTTTCAGGATAATGACCATTTAAAAGTGATTGTCCTCCAAAAATGTCAATACTGGTGTTTTGTAGCGATTTAAAAGAATGTTGAGAATTTCACAGTTTATTAATATTTAATAGTTAACTACAGAATTTAGTACGAATATTGGTAATTACAACGTGCAAAGCAAAGCTTGGTTGTAAAAAAAGTGACAATCATGAAATATGACATATTATATTCTAGAAAAGTTTCTAACCGCCCTTTCTTCCGTCAAAATCTAACCACAAACCTCAATCTTCGGTCTTACCCGGTAGAGGAAAGCACTCGTCACAGCCGCACTTCACTATCAAGCCATGTTAATAGTTTGGTAGGCTGGTGCAGTATAATAAATAAAACTTCATTGTTCGTTAAGACTGAACATATAGCCCCCCGCCTTGAAACCCTCCAGGGTTTTAAAGCAAAATGTTATTGTTCTGGTTGGTTTGGTAGAACACAAAGTTTTACAACAGGTTGTTTAATCACTCCTATCGATGTCTTTAGAGTCACGCACCGCGCACTATTATCAGAGCCCGGGTGTGTTGCAAGGACTCTGCCGAGCTGCCATTTAAGTGGCGGAAGACTATCTTCTGTAATAAGGACGAGGACGTCGGGTTTGAGAAGTTGAGCAAAATTCTCCTTCCATTTGGTTCGTTGCTGCAAATTCGAGATGTACTATTTGGACCACTTAACCCAAAAGTGTTGGAGTAGTTGCTGGATACGTTGGAATGTAGAAAGGCAGTTTTCCTTAACTCCAATGTATTGCTGATCCGGGATGGAACAGAGAGGTTCTCCGATAAGCAGGTGTCCAGGAGTGAGGGAATTTGTATCGTTGGGGCCTTGAGAAAAAGGGGATAATGGACGGGAAATGAGGCAAGCCTCTATTTGGTATACTTAAACCGGTACAGAATTCCTCGAAAGTTGAAACAGACTCGCCAATTACACGCTTAAGATGGTGCTTTACCGATTTAACCCTTGATTCCCAAATGCCACCGAAATGCGGACTACGTGGAGGGATGAAATTCCATTTAACTCCATTGTTTGCTAGATCTTCTGCGATGGTATTGTTATTTGGATCAAAGAATTTTTTGATTTCATTATTGGCGCCCAAAAATGTAGTGCCATTGTATATCTGTGAACACTTACCGCGACGAGCCATGAAACGCCTAAGTGCAGCCAAAAAACAAGTTGTAGTGAGATCACTTACGACCTCCAGGTGTATTGCTTTGCTAACAAAGCAAATAAATAAAGATATGTATGCCTTAGTGGTTTTATAGTTACGCCCCTTTCTGTCTCGTAAGAGAAATGGTCCGGCATAATCTACGCCGGAAATGGCAAAAGGTCGTTTGGGTGTAATGCGAGAAGAAGGAAGATTGCCCATTAAGCATTATTCTGGTTTTTTACTAAATCTAAAACAATGAATACAATTATGTACAACTTTTCTACAAAGATTTCGTCCAGACAAAGGCCAAAGATATTCTCTTAATGAAGCTAGAACCGCTTGTGGGCCAGCATGTAAAAGCATCAAATGTTCGTGTCTTGCGACAAGTGTAGTTAAGTAGTGATTTGAAGGTGGAATTGCTAGGTGCCATTTAGAAACATCAAAGGGAGAGTTTCGTATTCGTCCACTACTCGAATGAGATTTGTGGTTTTGTCAAAAAATGGGTTTAGTCCAAGCAATTTACTTTTATTACTAAGTGGTTCGGAATTTGAAAGTTGCCTGTAATCCTTTGGAAATGATTGTTGTTGTACGATTTGAATAGGGCGGTTCAGCGAATTGGTTAATTCTTCAACAGATAAAGGACCAGTTTGACGAGAAGCCTTGTCTGTTTTCTTGATATTGTCTGTGTATCTTAGAATGAAAGCAAGTAGGTACCCTTTTCAGTCTTACCAATGAATAATACTTAAACAAGTCAAAATCTAAAGTTGTAGTATGAAAAGACTTTGTACTTTTAGAGTTGATCTCAGGAAGATCAAAGAGATCAATTGATATGTCTTAATTGGCGTAATAAGGCCATTCAGTTTTAGGTAATGTGAGCCAAATAGGGCCATGAAACCATAAATCACAGGTAATTAAACTTAAAGGACTAGTGCCTCTTGATAAAATATCTGCAGGATTGTCCTGCGTATTGACATATTTCCAAGATCTCGGTTCGGTTAAATTCTGGATTCGAGCCACTCGATTTGCCACAAAAGTTTTTAATAAATGGGGTGAATTGTTAAACCAGGATTTAACAATAGTTGAATCCGTCCAATAGGTGATGTTGTCAAGTGTTTTGGTAAATGCAGATATAAATGTACTAGAAAGTTCTACAAGTAGAGAAGCCGCACACAATTCCAGGCGTGATATAGAAATAGTTTTCAATGGAGCAACTCTTATTTTTGCACAGCAAAGATTGGAAGTACAATTTCCAAAAGAGTCCTCACAACGAATGTAGATGCACGCACCGTAAGCAGCTTGAGA